TYCMAAAAAAAACCACAAAACCAAGACGAGAAGACATCAAAAAAGCAGGCAAGAGTTCATCACAACTGTTAGTGCTTCGGAAAGAGGTCATTAAATTCATATATTTCTGTAAAACCTTTTGATTTTATCAAGGAAGTGTTTTTGGATTTATGCTTAACTGACACAATATTTCCTTTTCCTCATGTTCAGAGCATCCAGAAAGTCAAGCTCTTGGAAAATCTGTGCTTCAAAATTCTTCATTACAAAAGGCATAAAATAAATTTAAAGTGATTACTGCTTGATACAATAATTCCACCCYTGCTGGTTTTAAAACAGAACTTAGAAAATAATAGCAGAGTATAAAATCACATCAGAAGACAAACAGATGGGGTGGTAAACATGCAAAGGAAAAGTGTTTTTGGATTGGGAGTGGAAAGCAATAACAATTACAGATTATTTCTGCAAGCCCAGAGGGCCATAAAGGCCAGAACAGCTGGCAGAAGAAGTAGCAGAAGATTTATAAGAAACCAAAGACATTTTAATTTGGGGCACTTAAATTTGTGGTCCCCAAGTAGTGTCCTTGTATCAGTAAGGGAATAGCCAAAGAGAACTTTTTAAGTTCCTGAAACAAAGTGTCAAAGTGATTTTTTTGGCAAGGTAACAATAACAGCCACCGGAACAGCCTCAACTTTTGCAGATTATCTTTTCAAAAAAAGGTTCCAAAGCCTTGTATGAAATGTGCATTAAACAGAACACCTATTTCTCTTTAAATCTGGCAAGCTCGGGCTTATAAAATGACCTGACCTGGACAGTACTTTTAAAAAAATTTACCTTACAGTGACAGAACTCTATTCAGGCTCCTTGTTTGGGCGGGTACAACCACCATCCCTCCCTTCTTCTATTCCTGCCACAGGAAACCAATGAAGAAGGGTTTTTTTCCCCTTACTTTGCTTTTCCTACAGTACTTGAAATAAAACATGAATGTGAGTTCAATGAAACTTTTTAATAACAGGGACAGAGCATATTCCACATTTTCTGTTTTCACACTGAAGAGTTAAATTTGGTGTATTGTTTCCCCCAATACCCATCATTTTCAGTAAAGAAAAATAATAAAAAACATTGGGAAAAAAATAAAATAATCTACCTCCCTAGCCAGAAGGGAAGTAAGAGAAATAAGAATGACATCATAGTCTCAGACGTTAATTTCCCAAACTCAGTGAATGTCACYGTATTAACTGATTGACATCAGTGCAGAGCCACTGGAGAAAATCTTACACATTCTACGCCTACAAACAGAATATCTCACTTGGAGACTTTTCATCCCAAAATCTGCTTGCTGTGTGCATCACAAGCTCAGGGGGTGAGGGGTGGGTTCTGGAATCTGCCCAGCAGTGCCACTCCACCTCCGCAGCATTTAAAGGCAMCATGAAAGGGTTAAAGGACACCACTTGAGAAGCCATCCTCTTCCAGCATTACATCCCATAATTACATCCCACAGGGCATCCAGAGTCCCTCTGTCCATGTCAGGAGATCGCCACAGAGTTCCAGAGCTTCACCCCTGCCCTGCCCTGCCCTGCCCTGCCTGCCTTTATTTCCTGTCAGTCCAGACAGGATTTCCCTTCACTGATGACGGTTGTTAAGACGCTCCTTTACTTTTCTGTTCTTGCAATGACTGCAGAGCCTTCAGCAGCAGGAGCTGCTCCAAAAGAACCTCCTTGCTGCTGAAATAGTTTTCAAAACCCCATGATTTCTCCGTGGTTTTGGAGCCGTTTTTCCCTTGAAGCATCAGCCRTTTGCAGACGGATAACTACATTAAGATCCACGCTGCAGATGTCTGGCTTTATTCCCATTCCACTTTCTGTCCAAAACAAAACAGCTTTTACCTCTCCAACACCCCAAGTTGTGTGGCTTTGATCTTGAAACTGGCAGTGTTTTAATRCCCACAGTCTGGTATGTGGGAAGGTTTTCCTGTCTCTTTGCATTAGGCCAGAGAAGACAGAGAGAAGACAGAAGAGAAATGGTCAGGTAAGAAATAGAGCTGAAACCCAGAGTCAGGGACTGATTTCTGCACAGCTGGCTGCCATCCCTGCTCCTGTCAGAACCCCTCCTGAATTATAAAGGTGTTAGGAAAATTAATCCACAAACATCAGAGGTTTGTGCCCAAAAAGGAGACAGAGGAGTCCCATAACTTTATTCAAATAAAGGGAGAGGCCATGGGACATTTCCATGGGGTCTCTCTCATTGCTGGAGGGCACAGCCTCCTTTTTATCCCAATTTCCAGGCTGCAGTTCCCTCTCTTTCCCCATTGCCTGAGGTACTGGGGAGGCACARACTGCCCCAATCCCCTAATACAGACCCCATCTAATGTGCATCCCCCTCCTTCTAWTCCTTGTGTCTGCTGTTTTTGCTCAATCCACGGATTCAGCACACGCTGGGGTCAGTCAATCAGTGGAATTCCTATGGAATTCCCCGCCTTTGTTCCTTCTTTCTCCCCTCACAGTTTATTTGTAAAGACACTCCTTTCTCATTCCTTTCACAGACAATATCCAGCTGCCTCCACCCTGTGCCCCTGAGATTGGTGTATTTGAAAAAGGGTGCGTTGGGAAGTCACCCACACCCATGGCTTTCATCTCATGGGGTTTTGCAGGGAGGAGCACCCAAAATCGTTCTAGCCTGTTCTTGTTTCTAAACAGGCTTTCTAAAACATCTAAAGTTTTCCCTTTACATTTTTAGTTAGCTGATTCAGTTCTCACCACAGACTTTCTTTTTCCTTAAAAAAATTGTTTTCAAACAATGCAAAAGAGAAGTTTCTGTAGAGGTTTTTAAGACACTGACAAGTGACAGAAGCCCTGGCCCCAACACCCCTAACTCTATGCCCCACAGATGGCACRGAAGACTAACCCTGCACACCAACGCATGAATTTATGAGCCAGCCCTCAGTAACGACCTTCCAGTCAAAAATCAAACTCAGCTTCTCTACAATCACCAAGAACAACTTACCTTTACACAAAACAGCATTTTTAGATTCACAGGAGTAGTATGATATCTGATTACAAACTGAAGTTGGATTACCAAAAGAAAAAAGAAAATTTAGAAAATCCCCACAAAAAAAAATCTTTTTTTTTAGAAAGGAGCACCAGAGCCGCTTGTAGACATCCAACAGATTCTTCATCACTTTTCGACACAGCTGGGCACACAAATAACTGAGGGGCAAACTGCTCTTACGTGGCAGTACAAAGACAGCCAACAGAAAGAGCTGAGGGTTGCAAAGAGCAACTGCTTTTGTATCCAGGTTTTCAGGAGTAAGGTGTATTCTTGAAATTATAATTGTTTGATTTATCTGAAGAAGTGGAGTTTGGGTAATTCAGACACTCTTTTTTCTTTCTCTTAAAAAAAAAAACAACAAGCCAGCAAAAACCCCAAACCAGCAAACCAACCAAAGCTTCTCTGCCAGCAATGGGGCAAAAAGCCTGAAACCAAAATATTTGTGTATACTGAAGGCTCAAAATAGAGAAAAAAATAATCCAGTATTTTTCAAGTTCTCAAATTTCTAAAAAATCACCGCTGCAGAGTCAACAAAATATTGATTCCCCTGTTTCTTGCCAAATATTTCCTTAGGAAGGAGCTCTGCAGTTTGTCAGCCTCAAATGCTGTTGAATGCAGCCGAATCACTCAGTTACAACAAAACACAGAGATCTGATTGTGCTCCAAACTCTCTCCATGGAAAACAAAGCTGAACCACTGTGAGTAAGTGTAGAAGGATCTCAGTTAGGTGAATCTCTGTTAGACAGGTTTTTGTGGGAACGAGGGCATGAATTGCTGTTACTGAGCAACCCAGACCACAAGATAGAGCAGGATGAGATAGAAGAGGGTGGGAAAGAGGAGGACGTGACTACAGCGGTGTAACATGTACCTCGCACTGACCATGAAGAAGAAATATAGTAAGAAGCAAGAACAAAGAGCAATTGACAAACAATAGGACGATTGAAGAAAGTGCAAAATGCTGAGAACGTTGATTTAAAACTGCAAGGCATATAAAAACACGCTTTTGCAAATACACCAATCATATGCTGAAATGTAATAGACAGACTGCTAAATTAACCAATGAATAATTGCTAATCATATAGAAAGGCATTGCTAATCATATAGAGAGGCTGGCTTATGAAAGTAGATAAAAAGGAGCTTGTATTAGAAATAAACGGATCATGCTCATCATATTGGTGTCTGCGTGACCTGGTGTCCCCGTCAACCAGAATCTGGCGCCTGAACAGGGACCAAACGTTGCCTTCCAGGAATTTTTTTCTTTTGGAGGGCTCCAGCTACGCGTGTATGAGGGAGACCTCATCGTAATCGCGATCCGGCCGAGACGGGAAGGCTGATGGCATATTTCGGAAAAGACTGGGATATTTGTCTGGAGTAATCAGGGAAAGAAAATTTCATCCAGAT